CCTCAGACCAAACACTTGACACTTACTAGCTGTGTGACCCTGGGCAAATCACTTAACCTCAATTGCCTAAGTGTGTGTGTGTGTGTGTGTGTGTGTGTGTGTGTGTGTGTGTATACACAATATGAAAATATATATATTCTCATTTTATATGGATTTCCATGTTTGTACTGAACTAGTCCCTGAAAGGACTTCTTTGTTCACACATATATGTCTTTTTGAGTATCACTGTCTATTTCCTTAGTGGGGGTCAGCTAGTCAAATTGCCTGTATTTCAGTGTTTATAGATTCCAAGTGAAAGGGATACCCCCAAATTCCTTTCCAGAACAGCAACCTAAATAGGAGATATTGACATCAGTGAGATTATGGATCCATCTAGGTATATAAGTCATAACAATAGTCAGGTTACCTCATCAAATGTCACCATCTGATGCTATAAAGTTCGTTTTTTTGTATTTATTCAGATCTGTAACCTTTATTGTACCATAGGATTGTGTCTCCCCCACCATGTTAGTGGCATGGCACTGGTACACCCCTTCATCCTCCTTTGTCAGAGGGTTTATCTAGAAAAAAGATAACAGAAAACACAATGGTAAATACATTTATAACATTTAATAAATATTTTATTAAATAAACCAATAAATTAATACTAACAAATATTTTATCAACTAATTTTATGAATTAACATTAATATTTTGTTAGATAATTTAGTAAATTAAGAAATTGATATTAATAAATTTTTATTAATGGCGAGCACTTAATAAATATTTTAATTGAATCTAATTGAGTAATGACAAGGAATCTAACAATTAGACTTCTCAGAAGAAACGAAAATCTGTTGAAATCCTCTATAAAAATGAAATCTTCAGATTCTTTACAGTTGGTCAGGATATAAAAGACAAGATTGCCAACATCTTTCCTCCTACTATTCTTTCTTCTGAAAAAAAGCAAATGTTTGTCTTATTTCTTAAAGAAAACATTAACTTCATTTTGTCCATCTCATCTGGACCACAGAGAGGTTGCCAAATCTTACATATTAAACATAGGTAGGACTTAAATAGTAAGTCCTTAATAAATGTTTGTTGAATTGAATTGTTTGCATGAAACCTTCAAGGGTGTAAATTATATAAAAGCAGTGGGAAAGGCATCTTTAAAGGCCTATTGACAAACTTTCTACTGTGAATGAGCAAATTCAGCTGCCCACGGAAATCCCCATCCACCCACTCTTCAGCAGGCTCTTACTATCATCCAGACTTTATTCCCTCTCCCTTCATTGCCCTACTTTGTACTTGAAGTTTAATAACATGAGTGAATAAATGAATGAACTAATGAATGAATAAAAACATTCGTTAAATGCTTACTATATGCCAAGTACTATGCTAAATTGGGAATACAAATGCAAAAATGAAACTGGGCAGCAGTGCCAAGGGTAGGCACAAGCAAAAGTTATACTCACCAAAACCCAACCTGTACTCTCGTGTTTGGATGGACCACCACGAACCTGGACAGCCATGTTAACTCGGTCTCCTGGCAACTCCTCCAGCAACTTGACTCCCTTGGGAGACTCTGTGATCTATAAAAGTAATAATAATCAGTCAAAATTGGCATAAAGAGGTTTGGATAGCCAGCATGCCGCCAACATCTTCATCAGTTGTCCAAACCCTAGTTCGTGACTATGGGTGTGCAAAAAATATTTCATGGATTTCATGGTGGTTTCAGCACGCATCAGTTGCTTGTAGTACTATGAGTGTTTGTGAGTTATAGTTTTTATTCTTATGAAAATTCTTGTTCAAAACTTTGTTTTGATCAGGCTGTGTTCTATAAATGTAAGCCAAATTCTGCATCTGAATTATTACTCTAGTTGAAAAAAGAAAAATAATTGTCATATGCCATTATCTTAAAAGTTTGAAACAAAGCTTGCGATTTTAAGAGGTATATTTTAATCTGTGCAATTCTCACAAAGTACTTCATACTTCTGAGACAAAAGGAAAGTTCCTAAGATGTAAGATCATGGATTTAGATCCAGAAAGGTCATTAGATGCCATTTTATCAGTCATTTTATAGATGGTAAACAGAGATGAGACAGGTCAGTGCCATGCTCAAGGTCACATGGGGCTCAGAAAGCTATGGGACAAGTTATGTGGAAGAAACTGAGTTCCACTCTGATTTTGAATTAAAGCCTGTCAAAATCAACATTATCGATTAAGTACCAGCAATTGCTCAGAGGGCATATAGGTCAAACAGAGGGACAAAATATCTTCATCTGAGTCAAGAGTTCTGATTACAAGCATTTTCCAGAGAGTATGTGTGTGTCTGTATGTGTGTGTGTATATATATATATATTATATATATGTATGTATATATATTTATATATATATCATGACCCAAAAGGTGTTATTGCAATTTTAAGCTTTAATAGTTTAAGTGGTTTATTAAACTATTAATAACTTAGTTTAAAAATTAAGCTTTAAAGGGCAGCTAGGTAGCACAGTGGATAGAGCCCTGGCCCTGGAGTCAGGAGGACTTGAGTTCAAATCTGACTTCAGACATTTACTAGCTGTGACCCTGGATAAGTCACTTAGCCCCAGTTTGCTAGTCCGCAAAAAGTTAAGCTTTAATAGCTTAAAGTTGCAGTAAGACTTCTGGGATACCCTGAATGACAAAAAAATAAATAAATTAAGGGCAACTAGGCTTGATGAAACATTTCTACTACATACAAGAAAAACAACATTGCATTCAGGAAGAGTAGAGAGTAGGCAGTTTTCAGGACATGTATATCACAGTGATAAGGAAAACTGAGGTAATGATAAGAACATATGAAAAGCTCAGTTGGTCAGCAGTTTGGATTTATAGGGTACCTAATACATATTTCCTCCCCCCTCCATTTTTTAAATAATAATGACTTTTAAAAACAAGTATACTTGGCGTTTGTGAGACATCAAAAGGGAAAAGTAGCACCAGACAGGTAAGTATGTTTGCATGTTACATTACGTAAATATAAGTGTGTAGATGTCTTTGACCAATAGATTTGGGACCCCCAACATTTAGACCAACCACCTCAGAATGTAAATATTTGCAAAACTATTTTTGCTCTACTCTTTAGAGGCTAGAGTCCTTTCTTTAAAATATCTCCAATAGTGATGAACCTTCATCTTTATGGAATAGGTTTGATTTTTAGAAACAGACAAAAATGATTCAGGGCCAAAACTGATCCAATACATACTTCTTCAAATTATATATTTAATTTAATATATGTAATATATATATAATATATATTAATATTATAATATTAAGCTTTAGTCTCAATAATGGAGATATATAAAGGATAAATTGGAGGTCATCTAAGAAGGAAGGTACTAGTGGGATCAATAGAGATCTCTTGTGGAAAGTAGAAGAAAATTTTAAAAAGTACTTTTAAGCGCCTATGATGTACCAGGCACTGTGCTAAGTGCTTTACAAACATTATCTCATTTTATCCTCACAATAACCCTGGGAGGTGGATGTTATTACTATCCCCATGTTACAATTGAGGGAAGTGAGGCAGGCAGAGATTAAGTGACTGGCACATGGTCACGTAGTTAGTAAGTGTCTAAGACCTGATTTGAACTAGGGTCTTCTTGACTCTGGGTCTAACGCTTTATCCATTGAGCCACCTGGCTGCCTCTTTATTCCTTAATTTCTTCTTTCATTTTTAATTCTTTGTTAAAAGGGATGGCATATAAGCCAGTGTAGATTATTTTTGTTACTATAGCACCCCAAATAACACCTGTTATACCCACCAAGTACACACACTGTGAAAACCTATACGACACTGGTCTTTGTCAATGTTCTCTGACATACCTTTCTCCAGCTGATGACTGGTGTTGGAACAGCCTTCACTTCACAGGACAGGTAGACTTGGGCCCCAGTTACATTGTGAATCTTTTTAGGTGGCAGAACAATCACAGGAGCTGGAGAGAAAATAGGTGAATAAAACAATCAATATGACAAATTCTTTGTATGCTGTGCCAGTCTTAAAGTATCAAGTCTATCCTTCCTTCTCCCCCCAATCTCAGCTTGCTCAGACTCTCTCCATACTTTTCTAACTAAGGCTGGATACAATAAGGACAAAATACTAACAGTAAGAGCTCAAATTTTGATAGCACTTCAAGGTTTTCAAAGGGCTTTTACACCTCTGAGTCAGAGTAGAACAAAATCTAAGCACATTCCCAAACTTGGGGTAGGTTTATTTTTAATTTGCTTTATTTGCTATTTCAAAGCATTCTTCCTTAGAACCAAAATTTAGGACAAATGTGGACAATCCCCCAAAATGGTAATTAACTATATAGAAGGCCTTGGGAGGGAAAGGGAAATAGGTTTTTATTAAGTACCTACCATGTGTCAGGTACTGTACTAAGCGCTTTACAAATAATATCTTATTTGATCCTCACAACAAGCTTATGAGGTAGGTATTAGTATGATCCCCATTACAGTTAAGAAAACTGAGCAAAACAGGGTTAAGTGGCTTGTCCAGAGTCACACAACCGGTAAGTGTCTGAGGTCACATTGGAATTCAGGTCCTCTATTGAATGTGCCACTTCTATTGAATGTTGCCTTAGCCACTAAAAACAGAAGTTTTAATCTGTGTGTTAAACACATTGACAAAAAAAAAACAATTGAAGTATAAAAGGAGTTGTGTTTTACAAGTAGTATTTTAGAAGTGAAGATGTTAAAATAATTTCAGTAAATGTTATTAAAGTTAATTGTTAAACCAGGAGCATAAGATGACTCCAAGATAAGATGACAGTGACTCTAGTAATACACAACTAGGTCCTGATTAGTGTGAATAATTAATCCCATGAAGGGGTCACACATATTTGAATTGCTATATAAATATAACTACTAGAAGTTATATTTATGTAAAATATTGTCATTGGTTCCATCTCAATGAAAATAAGTTTGAATTTGAAATAAGGAGAGAATTTGAATAATGCCACCACTTCATGGTATTCTTTATCCTCACTAATCAGGACTTAATTGAAACATAAAAATTCATATTATTTACTATGTCTGAACTTGGTTCCAGAAAGCTGATGATTAAACATTGCCCTCCTCTTGGTAGTGAAGAGTGGACTTTGGGTATAGATTATAACATCTGCTGTCAAATGCAATTGCTACGTCTGTTTTTCTTTGTTCTATGGGAGCAGGGAAGAAAGACTATTGGGAATTGACAGTGGCATAAAAAAAAAGTCAGCAAATAAAATATATATGGTTTTGAGTGGATGCAAAACACCTTGTACTGGAATAGCCAAATATGGGATGGAGGGAAGGTGTCTCCAGGTGTTGAAAAGAACAATAATAGTAGTGGGGGGGGCAGTGGATCACAGGCAGCTGTGGTGTTTTCCAGATTTTCAACCCACAAATGCCAACGACAATTTAGAAGGTCACTAGGAAGAGAAAGAGAAGCTCTGTCCCAGCCCCAGTCCCAGCACAGCCCCAGGGAGGAGGCTGCTTCCTGAGCTATTGGCCTGCAGAAAGAGGGGAGATCAAGCAGCTGATCAGAGGGGGATTACAGGGATCTCTTTGCTGGTGCTGAGGCAGGATCCTCTTGCTTTGCCCATGCTTGGATCTGAGTCACAGTTGTGGGTGGCAGTCTTGGAGTAAGGAGGAGTGCTAGCATGGTGGAACTTGCTGTGGCGGTGGTGAGGGAATTTTCCTCACAGTTCCAAGGCAGAAAAGAGTGCTTTGTGGTCGCTCATAGACCAAAGCACAGGCCAGGAAAGGAGTAAACACCTCACATTTCATCATACTACCATAGAAGAACTGAAAATTTAAAGGTCCCTAGAAGTATCTCTGAAAACAGGTGCACAAAATCCCCAAAGCTTGGAACACTACATTCTCCACACTGGAAGCAGACTCCTACCTAAACAAAGAGTTTATAACTCAAGTAATTTGCTGGATCATGAGCAAACTATGCAAAAAAAAAAAAACTGAGACCATAGAATCCTTCTTTGGTAACAAAGAAGATCAAAACATACAACCAGAAGAAGACAATAAAGTCAAAGCTCCTACATCCAAAGCAAGAGAAGTGGAGGAAAAATTGGGAAGAGAAATGACAGTGATGCAAGAAAATCATGAAAAACAAGTCAACAGCTTGCTAAAGGAGACCCCCCAAAAAAATACAGAAGAAAATAACACCTTAAAAATAGCCTAACACAAATGGCAAAAGAGATCCAAAAATCCAATGAGGAGAAGAATGCCTTCAAAAGCAGAATTGGCCAAATGGAAAAAGAAGTCCAAAAGTTCATTGAAGAAAATACTTCCTTAAAAATTAGAATGGAGCAGGGCAGCTAGGTGGTGCAAAGAATAGAGCACCAGCCCTGAAGTCAGGAGGACCTGAGTTCAAATCTGGCCTCAGCCCAAATACTTGACACATACTGTGTGACCTTGGACAAGTCACTTAACCCCAATTGCCTAAAAAAAAAAAATTAGAATGGAGCAAATGGAAGCTAGTGACTTTATGAGGAATCAAGACATTGTAAAACAAAACCAAAAGAATGAAAAAATAGAAGACGATGTGACATATCTCACTGGAAAACAACCAACCTAGAAAATAGATCCCAGAGAGATAATTTAAAAATTATTGGACTATCTGAAAGCCATGATCAAGCAAATAGACTAGACATCATCTTTCAAGAAATTATCAAGAAAAACTGCCCTGATATTCTAGAACCAGAGGGTAAAATAGAAATGGAAAGAATTCACCAATCACCCACTGAAAGAGATCCCCAAAGGAAAACTCCTAGGAATATTATAGCCAAATTCTGGAGTTCCCAGGTCAAGGAGAAAATATTGCAAGCAGCCAGAAAGAAACAATTCAAGTATTGTGGAAACACAATCAGGATAACACAAGATTTAGCACATTCTACATTAAGGGACTGAGGGCTTGGAATATAATATTCTGGAGGTCAAAGGAGATAGGATTACAGTCAAGAATCACCTACCCAGAAAAACTGAGCATAATCCTTCTGGGGGAAAAAATGGACATTCAGTGAAATAGAGGACTTTCAAGCACTCTTGATGAAAAGACCAGAACTGAATAGAAAATTCATCTTTCAAATACAAGACAAGAAGAGGTAAACAGGAAAGAGAAATCATAAGGAATTTATTAAGGCTGAACTGTTTACATTCCTTCATGGAAATATGATATTTGTAACTCAGGAGACCTTCATCAGTGCTAGGGTAGTTGGAGGGGGGAAAATTATATGGAGATAGATAGATAGATAGATAGAAAGAAAGAAAGAAAGAAAGAAAGAAAGAAAGAAAGAAAGAAAGA